CGCCTGCGGGGCCACGAAGAGCGCACGCGCGCGCACGCGGGCCTCCCGGGCCGGCTTATCATTCGGCGCCTGCGCACCGAGTGCGGGAAAGGTCCGGGGACCCGAGAGGCAGGTAAGCGGACTGAGTCGGGCAGGTGGCGGGGGTTGCCCAGGAAGGAATTGCTGGGGCTTCGCGCTTTGCAGGTCCAGGGACTTGGGCTTTCGCTCCCCTCTGGGCGAGTGAGTTTCGCTTTTTGCCGGGGGGCGTGACCTGAGCCCGCCTCCGGGGCTGAGAGGCGAGTGGGGGGATCTCTAAGGCTTGTTATTAATTTGGGGTCCGCTCTTTGTTTAGGGAGGATTTCTTGAGGAAGGCACAGAGTTTGCAGCAGCGGACAGGGAAGGGACAAAGCTAGACCAGATGGGAGCTGGGTGGGACGGTGAGGAGCTGGGCGGGTTGGCGGAGGCGACCCTGTGCTTCCTGCTGCGTGGAGGCGAAGGAGGGGGCTGGGAGCACTGCCACAAAGTGGCAGAAGTTGGTAGAAATTGTACAAGTGTCTGGGATCACACTTAGGACAGCAGTTTGGTCATTTTTGTGCTTTCACTTTTCTCATTGATACAGTTTTTCTCCCCTTGTGCAGTGTGACTATTAACATGCACTACCTTGACTCTTTGCATCCTAGGACATGACACAGGTGGCACATCCTGGCCATGGGGTCTCAGCATTCCACCTGTGCTCGCCCTCCTTCCTACAAGCGAAAGAGAGATGACAGAGAGGATATGCTGGATGATAGGGAGCAGGAAGAAGCCATTGCCCAGTTCCCATATGTGGAGTTCACTGGGCGGGACAGCATCACCTGTCTCACGTGTCAAGGGACAGGCTATATTCCAACAGGTGAGAATCTTTGATCATGGGAAGGATGATTTCCCAGTGAGAATCCCAGGGTACCCACAGGGCTTCTGTCTCCCAGACAGAGCTTTTTTTCTAGGCGGTAATATCGTTGTAGATGGTGCCCTGAACAGGAGCCAGCTTGGCTGATTTAATAAATTTGGGCAGGTTCAATGACTTCTCTTGGTTCCCTTATATTTGAAAGCCTTTCTTTTTTTCACTTCCACTCTTTTCTTCTTTGTTTCCTTGGTTTGGAACGTTTGGTTTTGTTAAAGAACAAAGATTCACTTGAGTAAATTGGAAGATCTAATTGACTTTAGTGAGCATTTCATAAATTGAGCAGCATCCCATTTAGCAAGTGTAGAGGAGCTGCAAGGAGCTGTGCAGTGTGGAAGGCTTTTATAGGCAGAAACTGGGTGGAACATGAAAGTTGTTAGCAAAAAAAAGAAAGGATTATTTCAGTCAAAGGGGATTGTTTTGGGGGGTGAGGGGGGAGTTAATGGAAAGGGTCCACATGACAGATTATCCCATTGGTACTGGCCAGAAAATTCCAGACTGACTGGTTAAGATTATATTCCTGGAGAAGACTGAAACTGCAGTTAGGTCAGGTATTAAGTCTAGGTTCATTGTCATGGTTTTTAGCACAAGTGACTCCATTTTGGGCTTGTGGTTGTCTCCTAACAGTTTGCTGTACATTGTGGGATTTGTTGACAGGCACATTTCTTTATTGCTGTCACTTATAAGACTCGGAACAGCTTTGCTAGTGGGAGGTAGGACACCACCTTGGAAGCTTCTGTTCAAGGAAGCAGATGTTGAATCATTAACAACCTAAGATCTGAACTATATGTATATCACATGGAGAGAGAAAATCAAATGCTCAGGAGGTGGAGCCTGGATTAGGTGCAGAATCATGTACCACAAAGCTGGTTCTCAGAAAGTTGTAACAGCTTTGATAGTCACAGAGGTTTAGAGCAGTAAGAACCATCTACTCCAAAGCTTTCATATTAGAGGTAGGAGACAGTGGCCTAGAGGGGTGATGCCTTCCTCAAGGCCATGCAGGAAAGCCAGAACAAGATCCTAGATTTCTCAACTTCCACGTCACTGCCCTGGCAGCACTGATAGATATTTTATAATTTGTGGCACTCTATAGATTTGCTTGTTTCTTGTTTATTAGCCCAAAAATATGAAACTAGTGTCTTAGAAATGTCTAATTCCAAACAAGTATATGTTGAGACAGGCTAATGTGCAGTGGGAAGGAAAGTACTACCAACACACAGGATTTATTTTACTAAAATAATTGTTTGGTTCTTTCATAGAGCAAGTAAATGAGTTGGTGGCTTTGATCCCACACAGTGATCAGAGATTGCGCCCTCAGAGAACGTGAGTTACCTGCCTCTCTCCTGTTAATACCTACTTCTACTCCTAGTCCCTTTTTATACATATGAGTGCTAGGTAACTTTTCTAAAACTTTATTCTTGTAAATTCATCTATTCTCTTTAATACTATTTGCTCAAGAAAGATATCTCTGNCTCCTAGTCCCTTTTTATACATATGAGTGCTAGGTAACTTTTCTAAAACTTTTATCTATTCTTATAAATTCATCTATTCTCTTTAATACTATTTGCTCAAGAAAGATATCTCTGCCCCCATCACCCTCTGGGGAGGGAAACTTGAAGCTAGAAACTTGAAGCTTGAAGGGAAGGAACTGAATTGGAAGGATTTGGAGAAGAGGGGTGTCATGGGAGGTGAAAAGAATGTTTCTGTCCACATAACTCCTCTCTTCAGCTTCCCTTCCCAGATTGCAAACAGCAAAGGCTTCTATCACTCCACTCATTCTTGCCTGGCTTGTGGTTCCTAGACTGTTGTACTTACTTTCCTGTCCCTTCCCCGTCAGTCCTGGTTGTGCATTTAATCTTAACCAATTGGACCTTGATATCTGACTACCTGAGTTGGTCATATGCTTTGTCATTTGCAGTAAGCAGTATGTCCTTCTGTCTGTGCTGCTCTGTCTTCTGGCATTTGGTTTGGTGGCTTTCTTCCTGTTTCCACATTCAGTCCTTGTGGATGATGACGGCATCAGAGTAATGAAAGTCACGTTTAATAAGCAGGACTCCCTTGTAATCCTCGCCATCAAGGTAAGACTTAGGGCCCCCCTTCCTGGGTTGTGCACCTGCAAGTCTCAACCCAGGAAACTTAGTTGTTTCCTCACTTGCCCTGTTGCAGGTCACCCTGAAAATCAAGAACTCCAACTTCTACTCTGTGGCAGTGACCAGCTTGTCCAGCCAAGTTCAATACATGAACACAGTGGTTGGGTCAAATGTGACAACTAATGTCTCCCTTATTCCACCTCGGAGCGAGCAACTGGTATGCTGTTCTTTTAGGAATCTTGCCCCAAAGGCCTGAGAAGAGTGGGGGCTGTGGGAATGCTGTAGCCTCTCTCCTTTTCCTCTCATTTCCACTTGTAAGGACTGGTTGATGAGAGAGACCTGGCGGGCTCTGTAATCATGGAAAACTAAGGGGGAAAATTAGTTAGCATTTAAGTATTAAGGGAACAAAAGAATATGTAAAACAAAGAAATTTGGTACAAATCAAGAAGAGGCAGAAGGATAGTCTGAGGTCCACCAGCCTCTCAGAAGGGAAGAGGTAGGAAGAATTTGTTAGAACTCATCGTCTGTGTGAGGGACAGTCTTGGAGAAATGTTTGTATGTGATGGAAGGATGCTCCCTGGTCTTTGGATGCTGATGACAGTACTGTTCTGTGTCAATCTTGCTTGGCCACAGACCAATTCTGATGTTTTCCTTTCAGGTGAATTTTACCGTGCAGGCGGAGATGGGAGGATCATTTTCCTATGTATAGTAAGGACGCTTTTCTATGTTGCTCTCTGGATGAAAGGGATGCAGAGTTGTGCTCAGTTGATTGGGACTAGTTCTGCCTTAAGTCCCAGCCTTTGGCCTATAGGTTCCCTAGCTTTGGCTGTCTTGAGATTTACTTGGAGGATGTGTTTTTTGATACTTGACTGAAGTGCTGGAATATCTAAAAGAGAACATTAAGCCACCAGAAATATTTCCAAGCTCCAATATTTGTATGATAGGTTTGAAAAAACAAAAAGTATGGAGCGGAAGGGTGAAAAGACACTGTGGGGATTGGGAGCTGCTGAGCCAGGGCAGTGCTGAGGTCAGGAGAGTGTGGGGAAGGGGAGGCGCCCAACAGGGCTAACTGCTCCTCAGTTTGACAGTGTAACTCTGTGCTCTTTTGCTGATTCTCCTTTTTTTTTTTTTAAACTAAACTGACTCCATTTTTGCTGTTTGGTAGCTTCTTCTGCACATTGCCTGATATCCAGGTGCACAACATAGTGATCTTCATGAGGTACGTCACTCTCCTTCCTTCCTTCCTGTGCCATGGCCTTTGTGTTTGAGCCTGACCATCAGGCTGTGCGAGCTTGCCGCCTCTGCTCAGGAGATCCCGTGTGACCCACAGGGCAGGGCACCCAACCAGAGAGGGGATGCCCAGTGCCTTCAGGCACAGATACAGTGAACTCTCGGTGTCCTCTGGATGCCGTGTCCAAACCTCCTTCGCAAATCGCCAGACTCACAGCAAACAGTTAGATATATAATGTTTTCTGTGAAATGAGGTCTAGTTCTATGATCCATTTAGAGTCCTGATGAGACTAGTGAAGAACAAAAAGCTTCCTCAGGGTATAAGTACTGAGCATTTGGCCAGACTGACTTACTAGCCACACAAATTACCTATTGCATGTCACGGACCTTTAGGGGTACTCCTAGTACCATGACTGTTAAATTTGAAGATGACAAGGGTCTGCTGCAGACATTTGAAATAGGAGGCTATAGAGCAAGGTTTCCTAACCTCATCACTATTGACATTTTGGCCGTAACAGTAATTTGTTGTGGGTGCTTTCCTGTGCGTAGTAGGATATCTAACAGCATCTCTGGCCTCTATCCACCAGATGCTAGTAACACCACTTCCTCACCCCTCAGTTGTAACAACCCAAAATGTCTGCAGACATTGCCAGAAGTCTGCTGTGGGGTGAAACAGCCCCCAGTTGAGAACTGCTATGTAGAAAGTCACTTCATGGCACAGCATCTCTGTGGCTGTAGAAAGACTCTGGGTTCCTGGTTGCCTAACCATGAAGATATGTGTATGGGACATGTGGATACTGTTGCCTGAGCTTGCAATAAATTATTTAGGCAATGTTTCTTATTTCATCTCAAAAACAGAATTAATTCTTCATGGTTTCTTTTTCCTAGAACTTCAGTGAAGATTTCATACATTGGCCACATGACCCAGAGCTCCCTGGAGACACATCACTATGTGGATTGTGGAACAAATTCCTCAGCTGTTTAGAAACTGCTTTTGATTCTTCCATGGCAGCACCTGTCGGAAGAGACACCACATCTGTTCCCAGGGCCTGAGTTCCATACCTACCCCAGGTGGAAGAAGTAGAGGAGAAACGGGTTCTCTTAATCCCCAGCAAACACCCTCCTGCCACTTGGGAGGAAAACTCGCCCCAGTAGCACCATTTCTGTTTCTCCGAACCAGCAGAATCACTGCCCAGTACTGAGTCTATGCCCAGCAAATAGTAGGCACTCAGGGTTTGAAGAGTTTAATTCAGATCTTTTCTGCTGTTCTTGGAGCATTATAAATGGAAAGCAGACCATGTACTAGGTTATAAAACCATGGAGTGACATGGAGGTAGGACTGTTAGTGCAGCTACAGAGCTGTCATCAGAACTTCATCTGCACAGAAGAGGCAGCAGGGAGGGAACATGTGAATCTGCTCCCAAATACCTAGGAACTTTGAAAAAAAGAAAAGCAAAACTTTTTTTCTTGTAGAAAGTTATAATTGTTTTTACCAAGAGTCTATGTGGGGCTTGATTTACCCTTCATCCATTGGCTGGAACATGGATGGGGGATTTGGTAGAAAAATAAACCCTGCTTTTGATTGATCTGCGTCTCCTTTGCTTGCCTGGATGCCTTAGTAGACACCTCTAGGGAACTGGAGACTAGTTGCCTGCTAAGTAGGTCAGCACAGGATGGGAAGGGAAGAGGAGGAACCCTGATGGTACCATCCCTGGTGGCTCCTGTCACAGAGAACAGCCTCAGCTTTCTCCATCTGCCTCTGGTGGTGACAGGCTGCCCTGTTGCTTCCAGATTAGAGCACTTGATGTCCCCTGGAGGTGGGAAGAAGTAGGGCAGAGGTGCCTGAGGAATAACTCCACCCTCCCCCACCCCCCACTGACTGTAGTTCTGATTAAGGGCCTAGTTTGAGTTTGAAAGTTTCTTGAACTGACTCCAAGCTCTCAGCCACCAAAGAGTGAGCTCCAGCCCCACAATGGCAGAGAATCTAGTTGGGAAGGTTGAGTATTTGGGGTTCAGAACTCGGCTGAGGTGGCATCTGGAAGCCCTAACAGCAACAGGTGGTGACAGGATCTATATCAGTCCTCATTCCCATAGCTTGATCTTCAATACTTCAGTAATGATTTTGATGCTGAATCTTTTGACATTGAAACTAAGGCTAAATTTTGTGACTGTTTTGCTAACACTGACCATGATTGAGTCCAAAACAGAGTTGAAAGCTGAGTTTCAGTGTTTCACTGGCTCCTTTAACAGTCTGTGTGATCACAGGAGTGATAACTGTAATTTTGGAAAAGCTACTCATATTTGTACTTAAGTTTTAATAATTCTTGTGACTGAGCCTCAATAGCATTTCTTGCTGCTTAGCATTATCTTTAAATCCAGCTGTGATATTCAAATGAAAGCACTTAATTGTTTTAAACAGAGCAGTAAGTCCCACCTCATAATGCTATGAATTTGTGTACCTGTTTATACTCAGCCTCCCAAGCTGCACTGTGGGTTACTCTGCATAGTTGTGTTTTGCTTTCCTTCCGTTCTTAAACAAATGCATATGATTTGCTCTCAGCAACACCAAAATAGAAAAGGGAAGTGGCTGGCTTGGGTGTCACTGCCATCATCATTGTATTTCTAGTGGATTGAAATTTGTAAAGAATGTTTCTTAGAAATGAGGCTTCATCAGAGATCTCTTTTTCTCTGTAGCTTCTGGCTTGGCCTCTGCTGTGACCTCTTTCTTGCTCTCGGACTGCTTACACTGTGTCACTTGGTTGAAATCTCCACTTATTCATTCATTCCAGAAAAGCATGTATTGAGCACCTGCTAAGCATGTATTGAGTATATGCTAAGGATTGCATTTTCTGATGTGTTTTGTCCAGAGTCATAGCTAGAAGTTTAAAACACCATGACAAGCCTTTATACTCACCGGAACCCATCTCTTCCCCAACTCTAGTTACCCCAAAGCAGGATCCCAGCAATCTCCAGGGCAACTGTCTAGGAATTCTAAACCCAAGTATGAAGCAAATTACTAAAAGTATTGGCCTATTTATAAATGCTCTCCATGAATCCTGGGGTTCCCAAATATTTCCTCTGTGCAAAATAATCCTTATTCTTTGCCTTTATAAGTAAGATTTCATCACCTCAAGAGCACTCTTCAGATCTTCTGTTTCCTCACTTGTTTAGAGGAGAAACTATTTTCAGAAGTTGTTCTGTAATTTACCCAGGATCTAGGGCACTTGAGCAAGTCTTGACTGGAGCAGACTCCTGACTTCTAGTTAAAAGCCTTCAGGTACTTTCGTAGAGCTGAGGAAGCTCAAGAGAGGAAAAGTAACCTTACTGAGGCCTCACAATTAGTAAGCCGGGTCTGTTCACTCAGTCCTGCTGGGGTCAGGATTTTATATGAAGTTATTCTAACTGGAGAGAACTTTTGCCTTTCCTGGGGCATCAGGGATCACAGGAATTAGTACAAACCCGGTTATCTCACCTTCCTCTCTGGGCCACTTTGGGATAAGGGAGCAGCAGGGTGGTGCATTTCAACTTGACCCCTTACAGGAAAGGTTTTCTATTCCTCCGCTTCTCTTCCCTTAAGTTCTTCCTCTGGTTCACTCCTCAATCACTATGCAACAGTTACTGTAATTTCTAGATTTTGCCAGGTGCCCAGGAAGTGCATGGGCTGCGAGGGATCACCTTGATCTCCTGGTGCATATGGGACTTATCTTTTTTATTTTTTTAAATATATCTTTATTGACTTCTGAGAGAGGAAAGGAGAGGGAGAGAGAGATAGAAACATCAATGATGAGAGAGTCGCTGATCAGCTGCCTCCTGCACGCCCCCAACTGGGGACCAAGCCCGCAACCCAGGCATGTGCCCTGACTGGGAATCGAACCCTGATCACCTGGATCATAGGTCAGTGCTCAACCGCTGAGCCACACCCTGCCGGGCTGGGACTTACCTTACAAAGGTCTGAGCTGCTGGCCACAATCTACTGCGCTGCTTTAGTAAGGAGCAGCAGCTCTGATGCCACTGTGGGAAGCAAAGTGAGCTAGGAAGCAGGATGGGCTCCTGGAGTGTGATTGACAGGTTCAAACCAAACTCAATTCTTCAGTTCCACCTGCTGTCTAAGGAAATATTTTAATAAGCATCTGTACACCTCACGGCTCTCCCATTAGCTCTCTTGATAAGATTGAAGGTTGTTTAAATTATGAACTAGCCCTGTCTAGTAGAGAAGGTGATAGCTTCCTCATTTTTGCCACACATACACATCATTGGAAAGCAAGGGACACCTGATGGTAGGGAGAAATGGGAGGCTGTCTATTCATCAGCCTGATGTAGGGAGGAAGTCCAAAGAAGCTTTAAGTGTAGTCCAGGAAATGTAGAATGGGGGCAGGGGAGCAGAGGTACAGGGGCAGGAAAGAGGAATAGGGGTGGGTTAAGCATTCAACACTCCCACCTCTCCTTGACCTAAAAGTCTTAGAAAAAGACACAAGTAGGTCATCAAGATTGCCTGATTGTGTGCACTTAGCATGGGCCCCCTCAGATTCTCTCCCCTCCCCTTCTCCCCACTCCCTCTACACCCTACTCCCTCAGGAGTGGCTCCAATCTCTCCCATCCAGCAAGACGTAGCCCACACATTGTCCCATCCCGAGCTCAGAGCCTGTCACTTCTCTTGAACAAAGTCCTGTTCTGTGTTTACTCTCAAGAACAAGGCCATCCCTCTTTTGTGCCAAATCTTGGTCTCCCATCCCAGTCCACACCTGGGTTCCACACAGTGCCAAGGTTTACAAAAAGAGGCAAGTTTGTGTTTGTGTGAGGTCACTTAACCAAGCAATGTGGCTTCAGTTCCCTCCCTTTGGTTGAAAAGTCAACAGAAGAAAACCTTAAGGTGGCTGGTCACTCCTATAGAATCAAGGACTAATGGAAAATAAAGAACAAAGCTCAAGTCAATATGTACTTTCCAATAATTTTTTTGTTTTTAATATCAATCGATGTTTTAAAAAATACAGAGGTGTTTGACACAGAATAGCACCATTGTGTAGGACACACAGTTCCTGTGCCCGGCACCTGAAGGGGGTCTTCTTGCCTGGGCTGGGGGGCAGTCACTCAGGGGGCGTTTGACTCACACCAGTTAGTTTCCTGCCTCTGCTTTGACCCAAAGGTCTTACAGGAAGACAATAAATAAATAGAACACCGAGATTTTATTTTGCAGTCTGCCCAGTTCAGGTCTCTTAGAAAGAAGGGAGAAAAGTCCAAACTGTGAAAGGATTGGAATGAATGGACATCAGGTCAGGTCAGCCATTCAGTGCAGAGTCCTAGAGTGACTGGGATTGGAAAGTACTTGGGTCCTTTGGGTTTGCAATGGATTGTGTTGTTTCTGGGTTCGGGTTTTTACAAGAAGCAGACAGGCCCTATGTCCACACCAAATTCCTGCTCGGGCCCTCCTATGTCCATGGGTGCAATGTCAATGATAGGGAGGCGCGAGGTCTTCTGTGACCGGTACTCGATCATAGTCTTGCCCCACTTACCGGTGTGTTTCTGGGGGAGAAAGAGAGGAGACACTATTTAGTGGTTGTCTTACATTCCAATGCCAGCTGCCCGGGACCCCAAAACTTAGCATTCAGAACACAAAGAGCAAACCACACTTAGTGCTCCTTAGGCCTCTTCTTGGCTGGCCAGGACCCTCTCCACCTCCACTCCTGTCCTCACAGCAGGGCCTCTTCCACCCTGCCCTGCTCCTCTCCCCGCTCCCCATAGTGAGCCCCCGCCTGTGACGCCCTCATCACTCCATCTCCCAGTCGGCCCATGCACATTACAGGTATTCTACAGGAGTCATTGGGCACACTGGGTAAGGTCTTACTTCCCTGGAGCCAAGGGAGAACGGCACACACACCTCTCCCTCACCTGTCACTCTGCATGTCTTCTCTACATAACCCCTCACACTCACGCCTCTGATGAGCCCATCACTTAGGAACATAACACTTCTGGGGACCAAGCCTCCACCCACTCTAACCTGAGCCCTGGGCCCAGGCAGCTCATCTCTCTGGCAGCTCCCACCGGCCGACTCACCGTGCAGCCATCCTTCAGAACCGTATATGTGAACCTGCTGTTGCCCTCAGCCCGGATCTCCACGTCGTTGGAGCCCTGGATGAGCAGGGCCTTCTTGAGGTTGCCAGCTGCTTCGTCCAGGTAGGCGATGCTGTTCTTGCAGTGGTAAGTGATGTTCTGGGAGCCCTCGGTGGACAACAGGCGCAGGAAGGTCATCTGGACGTTGGCAGTGTTGGGAGCCAGGTTGTCATCTCCATAGCTGAACTGTTAGAGCAGAGAGCAGTGGTATGAGGCCCAGCAGTGGCATTCAGTGGGGCCAAGGGCTTCAGGGGCTGCCAAGTGTTCAGGGTTCAGAGGAGCTGAAGGGGCCTGGGGAGCAGGTCACTGGGAGGACATTTTTACTTCTAGGGTGTAAAGTAAGCCTCCAAGGAACTCTTCCTCCACCTCTAAATGGGAGAAATACTATTCCTCCTCTTCCTTCCTCTTAAGCCCCAAAGGAAACTGGTAAGAATGTGGGCAAGGTGCTAAAAACTTCCAGGGAGAGAAGAGAAAGATC